ATGTACCATATTTATAGATGCGGTTTTTTTCCCAGTAGATCTGCCCACATCCCAGAAAACACTAAGCGAATTTATTCGCGCGAATCGAAAGCGTCGGTTGATGCGCATGTGCGTTCACTTTTCTATCCAAGTTTGCGAAGCGAAAAAATGAGCAACCAATCAGAGTTCATTAAGCCAACCTTTTTTATTTTTTTAAAAATCTATAAGCTATTTTATTGATTTTTATAAAATTCCTGCAAAATATAATAAAAATAGCATTTGACAGATTCTTAAAAAAAAAAGAAACATCTAATAAAAATGGCATTTGACAGATTTTTTTTTTCAACTAAATTATTTGTTTTTAAATATGCATAGGCCTATGATTTATGTTGATTTATTAATTCAATTTTATTTAAAATAACAAACAAATGACATATTTGATAGATTAAATATTTATTTAAAAGAAAACCCAAACAAATATGATTCGAATAACTGATTTTAAAAAAAAGTTGCAATGTTATAATATTTACTATTTATTTTTTAAAAATCTATAAACTATTTTATAAGTTTTTATAAAATTCCTGCAAATCCTAATAAAAATGGCATTTTACTTTAAATTCTTTAAAAAAAAAACTAAATTATTTTAGTTTTTCAATATGCATGTGATTTATGTTGATTTATTGATCTAATTTTTGCTATTTTTGCAGCAATTAAATAGTTGGAAGATAAAAAAAACCCCCTAAATTTTATCACTGAGGGCCATTTTTACTAGGCCTACCTGTCATTATTTAAGGGGCCATTTTCTCCCCGGTATAATAGGCCTAGTCGGTATAGGAGCCGGACGGACAGACGGATGTCTACCGAAGTGGGGGATCCAGTCAATCACTCCCTAGCAAACTCGCCCCTCGTAATCGCCCCTACAAGCTCATTCCTTTGAAAAACTCGCGCCTCGATTGTACACAGTGGCCCCCTACCAATCTCACCCCATAACAAACTCGCCACATAACAAATTCGCCCACTAACAAACTCTCCCCCTTACAAACTCGGTATCCGTTGATTTCGGTCCCGCTATTTTTGTTATGCATTTCGGCTGCAGTGTATAGCGATGTACCGGTAGCTAAGCAATACGGTTTAAACACGAAACCTACAATAATGCAACATTAGTTTATTAAGGCAATTAGGGCTATTTTTATTAGTATTTTATTATTCTATTACACTAGGCTATATAGGATAGTAAGAAATTGAACATAAAATTATTGTTGATGGATACATAATTGTGCGCCATGTGCGCAATGTAGACCTAGCCTCTGGATATTTTACCATATTTTACTGGAAGATTGCAACCTGTAAAAAATTGTAAGTCATCATCCATGCTATTCCGTAAAATTTAATAACAAAAATTGTGATATTTTCTCATGAAGACGATTGGAGCAACTCAATCGAAACGTCGAGACTTTCTCAACAACAACAGTTCTTTTCAACATATAAAAAATTGTTTAAAAATTGTTTAAAAAAAATTAGACCCCCAAAAATAAGACCCTGCAAAAATAACACCGTCAACACCCCCACTGCAATTCTCCACCAATCACCGTCACCTCCCACCGCCTCCACATCTCTCCCCACAACCCATCTCACACATGCCCCGACGATTCTACATTCTGATGATAATAAAAGCCCTTCACGCTGGTCAAGCAGCCTATCAACAGAAGAATAAATAGTAAATCAGCATGGTATCAAAACGTACAAATCGACTAAAATGTGCACGTGCTACCCCTGAACAGTTTGCAAATTGTCCGCGCAAATTGTGCAAAGAAATCTTTGCTTGCCCAATTTGCAAATTGTGCACGACACAGACAGATGACGACTTTCCATCCGGAATTGGGATTGGTCTTTCAATGGCCGTATTGGACTGGTCGTTCTTCATTAAGCCACACCCACCTGCGGAGCGGCCAAATCCTACTTAACGAAGACGACCAGTCGAATAGAAAACTTGTAAATACTCGACAAAACAAAATGGCTGCATAGTTACCGCGATACACGCGCGTAGTCAATGCTTCAGCTTGTGGCAGTATGGGTTTTTCGTAAAAAAATATTTTCATCCAGTTTTTGAATTCTGTTAGCCTACAATTATTTTTTGACTTTATGTGGGTAAACATTATAATTTTTATTTTCTGAAATTTAATCTAAATATTATTAACGCAAATGTTTCTAAACTCACCAATCGGCCATGTTTGTTTTGGTCACGTGCTGGGGCGGATGCAGGATTGTGCGGTAGGGGGTGCGTGCAGAAATTTGAAGAAATGTACCTGTAGATGGCCGGAAATGACACATTTATAATAGTAAAATTCATCATCATCACTTCACTATCATACGACACTTTTATATAGTAAAATTCATCATCATCACGCCATCATGTCTATGATGAAGAGCGCCAGCAAATTTCTCATGATTTTTAATCAGGGATTTCAGGCAATCATTATTATGAGTGATGTACCATAGAAAAAAAAACTAAAGAAACACTTTCTTTGATGTATTTAATTTATTTGACTTACCTCAAAGGTGTGTGGCCACATTCACCTCAGCCCCACCACAGCTGTGGCTGAGGTGGTAAAATTTGGGGAAATTAAAGATAGAAAATAAAACTTAATTGTCTTTGGGGCCTATTTACTTTATCTACTTCATATGCCGAAAACCAATTTTATCTTTGCAGGCTTTTTCTCATTCTAAAATTATAATAAAGGCACGCACACTTAAATCGTGTGTGATAGGTAATCAAGATGTTTGTGGGCAGAGTATACCGGTATAAAATGCTATTTAAGATGTACTCTGGCTGATAGGCCCAACGCGTTCTTTCGTTAAAACCTGAGTCATTTGCAGTTAGGCCTATATTTCAACAATTTTCAGGCATACTTCTTGATTCCCAAAAAGTGAGGGGGACCAATCCTTCCCCTTAAAAATATGTGGGGGTATTCCTCTTCCCGGGGGGGGCGTATTCCCTTCCCCAGTGATCTGGTGCGCCCATGGGTCCGTGAAGAGTCCACATCCCCTCAGCTAGCTGAGGTGCGAACATTTTGAGAATATGAGCTCGGTGCCATGAAATTGCACTCTCATATCTTAACAATATTACCAATAATTCATATCAACAATATAATACAACAATAAATTTCTTAATAGAATTTAGGGAGGTGCGACCGCGCCCTCCACACCCCCTGTATTCGCCCGTTGTCAACGCAACGAAGTCAAATTTCTACGAACCAACAGTCGAATGAAAATAATACTCAACGATAAATCGTAGACAACGAAATGAACTAGTCGAATACGCCCAATGGTTTGGTAGAAAATGTCTCACGAACAGATGAAGTCTTCTCTGTTAGCGTTACTCCAAATAGTTGATTCTGGTACGTAGAATAATACCTAGGCTAGGCCTGCATACGAAATTTTTAAATCTCAAACCTAGGCTAGGCTAGCCATTTTTACTATTTAGGCCAAGGATGACTAGGCCTAGGGAGGGCCTATGCCTGGCCTAGGCCAGGCCGCCCATCATCATCAAAATAAATAAACTCAGGCCTCTTCCTAGGTAGGCTAGGCCATGGATGGCCATTTCATCTGTTTCGGCCGCGTTGTATTTTCATTCTTAAAATTGTGCACAACATTTTCTAACAAAAACAACAGCATCGTTAGTCTTTAGTAGGGCTTACTGTAGGATTAGGGTTGAGCATCGAGCGCGAACAAAGAACAATGAGAAAGACCACACTCTACAAGTTATTTATGCCATGAAATATAAAGCAATGAATGAATATGCATTTATTTTCTGTAAGATATTTAATCATTACGAAGAAAGTAAGACAAAACAAATATTTTTATTGTTTTATTTTATTCAAACACATTTTCCAACGTCATCACTAGTCGCCTATCAGAAACATAATTGGCAGTTAATTTTATAGGCATACCATTCTGGCGCATGACGTATACAAACAAGTAGGGTTGTATCCCAGTTTGCCGAGTACCAGTTTGCCGACTCAGAACCAAATAAATCCCAGTTAGCCGAAACACAGTTTGCCGAAAGTCAGTTAAAAGCAGTCTCATAAATAAATTCAGATTTTATCAACAACCAACTCCTAAATTGGATCTCGTCTTTCCTAATAGGAAGATCCCAGTGAGTTGTGCTTGAGGGACAGACATCTTCCACCATATCTGTTGACTCTGGAGTACCACAGGGGACAGTCTCAGGACGTACCCCTCCTGTTTCTCTTGTATATCAATGACCTGCCTGATCAATTGTCATCAACACCATGACTTTTTGCAGATGATCGCCCTTTTGTACAGGAGCATCACTTCACCATCAGAATCTAGAGCCCTTCAGGAAGATTTGGATACAAGCTGGCAAAATGAATGGCAATGCAATTCAACCCCAAGAAATGATACACAATGCACACTTCTTAAGCCAGAAATCCAGTTCATCAGGATTATATATTATGCAACCAGAAGTTGCAAGTAGTTCACATCCATACTTGGAAATCCATTTGCAAGATGATCCAAGCTGGAAGACACATATTGGCCACGCCACATCCAGAGCTAGTCGCATGCTGGGCATTGTTCATTGTAATTCATACCAATGTCCGGAAAACCTGAAGGAGACAGCTTACAAATGTCTTATAAGACACATTATTGAATATGGATCAGTAGCATGGGATCCACACCAGAAAGGACACATTCAAAATCTTGAAAAGATCCAAAGGGGAGCTGCGAGATTCACCAAGAGCGAATACAGTAGCCTTAGTAGATTTTAAATTGGTGCCTAAGATTAAAAAGCCTAATCACTGATAGTATGGCTCGGTAAATAAAGTGGTAAGCAACTGGCAAGCCCTTTTGATGGTCTTTAACTAACTTTTTTGTGGTTGTTAAGTCTGAGTATACATTCAGTTTCGCCTACATAATTGCTGCTATGGTATATAAAAAAATATTCACACATAAAACCTAAATCTTTGTTGAAACCATTAACATTAGATTTATGACAGGAACCAACAGATCTCATCACACCTTCTATTCTAGCCTTAGTAGATTTTAAATTGGTGCCTAAGATTAAAAGCCTAATTCATTGATGGTATGGCTTGGTAAAGTTGTGAGCATCAGGGAAGCCCTTTTGATGGTTTTAACTATTTTTTTTGTAGTTGTTAAGTCTGAGTTTACATTCGGTTTCGCCTACGTAATTGCTGTTATTAAATGTAGTTCAAAATAGTAGGACGGTGGACGGCAGAATTCGGCAAACTGGGTTCGGCAAACCGCGTTTCAGCCAACTGGGATTTCATCTTTTCGGTGAACTGGATTCAGGAAACTGGGGTTCGGAAAAGTGGTCTAATTTCGGCAAACTGTGTTCTGGCAAACTGGATTTCGATCAACTGGTTGGATACCTGGTGGGAGCAGTTAGCAATATCATGATCCAAAGTCCAAAGGAGTAGGGGAGGGTGTGGGTGACAATGTATAGTTAAAAATACAAATACAAAATTCCACAAGAAAACTCTTTACTGTTGACAGAGCACTTCTTAATCAATTTATATTATTAAAACATGCACAGATAAAATTAGTAAAACTCTATAAAAACTAGGTTACAAATTATAATTAATATTATTAATATTGTATTAAATAATACAGTAATATTTTGAAATATCTGCGCATGTAAGATTGTAAAGGCTTATGTGCCACTAGATTATGCTGCAAACAAATATTTAATAAAATATTAAATTTTTAATTCCTTTTTTAGGATTTCCCACAGGTAGTTTTTCCCATAGCCTAGGATATGAATCAGCAGTGAAGCACCAACACATCAAAACAATGGCACAATTCAAAGAGTTTGTCATCACTGTGTTAGAAAATATTGGTAAGTTACTCTATGTATGGTCAAAAATAACCTAGTGTACTTGTATTAAATAAATAATAATATTTTGATGTTCATACAAATTACAGTGTATTAAATATTTTTGCATCCAGGGGATTTTAAATAGATGATTTCGCTGCAAGCTTTGATTTGGATTTGGATTTATTCCATGTAAACACCAAGGATAGCCCACGAAAGTCTAGAAGAAGACTTATCTCCAGTAGGGTCCTTCTGGTGGTGATTGGGCAGTACACTGGGAGACAATCTCCTACTCTTTTCCAAAGAGTGTACTGCGTTCTTTAACGTGCACACAGGCCATAAATGTACACATGACCAACAGCTTAAATGTCTCATCTGAAAGATGGTGTGCTATTGTATCTTGTATTTTTAGCCCTCCATGTGATGGGAATTGAACCGGGGACCTAGAGATCTCCACAGTTCTGCACACACACAGTGGCTACCACCAGATTAGCCGACTGAGCTAAGTTAAATTGAATTTCTCTTTCAACAGTGAGTATCTCGTCACTTAGGAGTGATGCTCTTTAAACCAAGTGGCATTATGTGGCTCAAGCCAGGCACAATGCATCGCACAATGGTCACTGCTGGCAAATCCATCTTTATTTCCTGCACTCTTTGTGAGCGCTTGACAACGCAACACCGTCCCCTGATTGTCATAAAAGTGATCCGCTGCACGCACCTTGTTGTTTTGCATTCCCTGTGGAATTGTGTTAGGGAGTAAGATTTTTTTTAGCCATGAGAACAATTCCTGTTGTATAGACAGCTAACTATGGCTACTGTACTTACACTCATTAGGTACAAAAATTTGACATTGCAAAGCTGTATTTTACAAAAATAAAACTTATTTTGCAGTGTGTACAACTTCAGTTGTTAATGACCTAGCGTATTTTTGCATGTACAGTAATTAGAATGTCTTTTTCCCATAGGCTCTTCATATCTGCCACTGCTCTGCAAAGCCTACAAGAAATCTGAAGATGTTGATGAAATAATAGCCCTTGACGCATACAATGAAGCATGCCTGAGTAACCATATAGCAAACAGGGCAAGTGTGCAACAGGTATAGCTAAAGATACTGTAGCAGTACTACCATCTGTAAATTTGTATATAGGATCTGTGTGTAAATAATACCTTGCATTTTTAACCAATATCCCAACTTCATGGCTTATACACCAAGCTTAGGAAGGTCATTTACCTTAAGGTCATTTGCCTTAATTCAAGTGACCACACATCATTTGGGAATGTTGATGAGTTTCCCAGGTACTAGACAAGGACAGGCAATTACTAATCCTTATTGGTCAGATGGTATGAAAGGTGATGCTATATCACATACATTTGTACTTTTACAGACACTTCTCTGTTTGTCCTCCCTGAGTGCACATTACTTTCGCTTTCTATCAATTTGTATATATCATCAACTTGTTTCTCAAGTGTTTTTGTAAATACACTTTTCACTTGGAATAAATTGTACAGTTCTACATATAAATTAGTGTGGTGTATTTTTATCATCTCATCGTACACTTACACTAAAATAC